TGCTCTTTACCTGCAACTGACCTTCTCCTTGTGTAACTTTTTTGGCTGGGTCTGTGACTCAGCCTGTTACACACCATAGCCTAATACCAATAAGTGCTGGAGGGATCAACACTTACACCTCAGCCACTACATTACAAACCAAAGAAAGTTGGCTGTCAGACATAAAATTGCTCTAGCCAAGAATCTCTAGTGCTTTTCTCTTCATGTAGCAAGTATCACACAAGGCAGGAAGACAAACAGAGGAGCCAGTGAAGCAAAATATTAGCCCAGCTCTTACACTGGCAAGAGAGCTTGAACATAGCAAGTCCTCCCCTTACTCCCCCTACCCCAAGGTTCCCACAGCTGTTCAACATTGCTGTGTGGTGCTCCTGCCAAACAGGTGGCTCTGCCTCCCTGAGGGCTGGTAACAAATGACTATTTGAGTTCAATTTGTGCAATGGAAACTGTTTCCATTACAAGCATAAGTGAAATCCATCCAAGCAACAGATTCTGGGATCCCAAAGACTGTATGTTTTCATAACCTATACTGACATAGCCTTAGCCTTTCCACCGAGTCAGTCAGGTCAATGATTTCTTTGTTCCTCAACTCATGAAACAAAATTTGGCAAATACCACCTTCAATAATGCAGGCACCCCTCTAAACCCCCTGGTTTAGAGGCTCGAGCCCAGTTCTGCTGAGAGCTTCAAATTCAAGAGATTATTAGTGCAAGAGAACCACTGCAAAAAGCCTACACACACATTCCTTCCTTATGTATAATTTAAATAACTTCTTTCTTTGCAGTCTAGCAATTCCTACATTAATCATTCTGCAAATCAGTTTGGTACCAAACAGAGGAATTGCATCATATCATAACAATTTGACCATCCTAAACTGAGGCTGCCAGAGATTGATTAATTAACTGCACACTGCAACAGATTTTTAAATGACCGGGTGTTTTAAGTTGATTATGCACAATCAGAACATTTACAACTTGCCAATACATTCCTCACATCTGAGGAGAGCAGGAAAGCTAGCTCGAGCTATACTTCAGACTAAGCCTCATGTCAAGTATTCCTTTAACATACATGGTTAGGAACCAAGGCTGTGTGTTAGATTAATCAAGATCTCACTAAATTACAGCTTTAACATTTTCTGGAGGCATCGGTATACCTCTTAATCCCAAGGTACATCACATAGCTCTATCCATCCTTGAAAGAAGGCTTATTCAAGTACTTCAGGGGAAAGTAACAAGCAGGTGCCTGTAGGGGATGGATATGACTGTCTATCTACAGAGACCAGACTAGTAGAATCAAGTAGCAAGAATAGACTCAAACACTTGATTAAACTACAGTTTGAGGCATGCTATATTCATTTAGGTTATGTTGACTAGCAATCAGTTTTGCTTATTTAAACAAGTAGTTATCTATATCACAGGTACAGTGTTTTCTGAAATAGCTGACAGTAGTTTATCCAGGTGTTAAACTTCACACTGCATTTAAACCCTGCTCTAGCACTAGAACAGTCTACTTAATCTTGCAGCTCAGATATCTAGCTTAATGAACCATTTATAGGTATAGTTTTGCCCCTGTGTGACCTGACTTTAGCTTTGTTATTCCATTAAAGAATTCAGAGAGGCTGTACAATCAACACTTTAAGAGGCACTGAGCTCAAATTCCCAGAATTATTCTGGTGCCTTCCCCTAAACAGACTTTTTCCCCCTAGATTAAAACTAACATTCAACTCAATACTTAAAAGCTTCTTTATTTCACTCTTACACTTAGGCTTTAAGGACACTTTAAAAATCAGTTATGTAACCAAGATTGATATTGAAAAAAAGTGGATGTGCAGTTCCAAAAAAAAACCCCCAAAAAACAGTGTCTTCAAATATAAAAATATATTTCCAAATTATTATCTAGGAAAAGTGTACCACCATTTCTGCCCTAAGCTGGTCCTGCCAGCTTTTGGGTCATAACTCCCCACTACAGAGCTCAAGAGCTCATATTGGAAGGAGCATCTCTGAAATTCGTGTCACAGGCATGATTCATGGCCAACTGCTTTGCTGTAGCACATGGACCCAACCTTAAGTTTTCTGAAGGCATTCCATAGTTTTCCCTTGAGCAGTGGGTAAAAAGCATCCAAACATCTCCTGGGAAGCATAGGTCATATACACAAAGCCATCTTCATCTTTGTAGTCCTTGTACACTTCTGCCATTGTCAAGGACATACTGGCTAGGCTTTTGTTGTTCACCAGCAGGTAGAAAGCTTGAGTAGCTGTTAGAGCCATCCTGCTTCTAATTGAAGAAAGGAGGAAAAATAGAGGATTAAGCATTAGCAGACTTCAGAAGGTTTCAACCATAAAATACATTAAACAGAGCAGTTGCGTGAACTATGTACAAGAAGTGCTGTGTAAAGTCATTTTGTGGTTTAACATCTTCATCAGCAGGAAGTTAACTATGCTTGGAAGCTGAAAGGCTTGTGCTCTGAGGAAAGGCTTACATTGTCAGACCATGAGTGCTACTGAGCCTGGGCTTTGAGTTCTCAACTGTCAGAGAGGTGCTGAGTAGAAACCAAAAGCTTTTGCAGTACAGCTGTAGTAAAGGATTCCAGCATGGTCCGTTACACTTATTTTAAAGTCTACCCTCAAAAGAAGAGTCCTTCTCAGAGACATTACATATGAAGATCAGGACCTAAGTTACTTAAGAGCCAAAAGCATCTTTTACAGAAGTTAACATCTAGAAAGATCTTTTCCCTACTTTAAGAAGTATGCTGAAAAGCACATCACTGTCATCCTTGGTCAGACAGCATCACAAAATATTTTGGGAGACTTCTTCCCTGTAGTGTTTTATAAATAATAACTTAAAAGCACATTTCATGCCATTCACACCTAAGAGTTGCTTTGAACTTGAGCAAATTCAGCAAGGTGCAGTCAGACAGCAAAGCAGTAACAGCTATAAGCAGAACAGAACCACACAGCCCCATTACCAAGTTTATCAAGCAAGAAGAAAGCAGAACAGGAGTCCGATACAGTCTTTACTCACTACAGTTAGGGAACAGAGAGACAACTTTATGAAGCCAAAAAAGCAGAGACCATTTTCTTTTTCCCCCCAAATGCACCTGAGAAGAGATCTGTTGATTTTCTTTAAACACTTGCAAGAGAGGAAAGCTGTTACTGATACCTTCATCCTCCTCCCCACCAAGGGAAACAAGATGCTCCAGCACAGCACTAGAAGATACCTGCTTGGAGAAGAGCAGCAAGCCCCAGATGCAGCACTGGCCCACAGGTGCTCACTACCCACCTGATGATGGTTATGAACTGCGTCATGGTCAGCTCCTCAGGAACGAGAAACTTGGTTTTGTCCAAGAGAGGAAGGTATTTCTCTTTATGATATCGCTCAACAATTACCTGTTTTAATTAGAGCCACACTTAGCAAAACCTAAAACACTCCCATCCTTTCCCCCCCATTCCCAACATTTATTTTTAACCGATAAAAAGACAACAAAACAGGGATTTACCGGGATTTTTGTGGGGAACTTCGCCCGGATTCCTGCGACTTCTTCCAGCCGGGTGGCTGCGCGGGAGAGAGGAGAAGCGTTACCT